AAAGAAGGCAGAAGTGACTAGAGAGGAGCAGAGAGGGTGGGCAGGATCATGGGGAGATGAGGCTGAAAAGGCTGATGGGAGTAGGACAATGCAGAGTCTTCCAGGCTGTGTTGAGAACTTATGGGGGGCCTCTTATTTCTTTCTATCTGTCTGTCTGTCTATCTTATCTATCTATCATCTATCTACTATGTATGTATGTATGTATCTCTCTCTCTCTCTCTCCACTTACCTATTTACTATTTTTAGGGTTTATTGAGGTATAATTTATAATTTATTAGGGTAAAATTTACTCTTTTTAAGGGTACTAGTCTATGAATTTTGATCATAATTAAGATGTAGGCTGGGCAAAGTGACTCGAACCTGCAATCTCAGCACTTTGGGAAGCTGAGGTGGGAGGATCACTTGAGTCCAGGAGTTTGAGACCAGCCTGGGCAACATGGTAAGACCCCTTCATCTTTACAAAAATACAAAAATTATCCAGTTGTGGTGGTGTGTGCCTGTGGTCTGAGCTACTCAAGAGACTGAGGTAGGAGAACTAGAGCCCGAGAGGCAGACATTGCAGTGAGCTGAGATCGAGCCATTGCGCTCTAGCCTAGGTGACAGAGCCAGACACTGTCTCCAAAGAAACAAACATACATACATTTATCCTAAGACCCAGCAACACCACTCGTGGATATTGACCCAAGAGAAATGAAGACCTATGTCCACAAAAAAACCTGCGCAGTTATGTTTATAATGGCTATATTTATAATAATCAAAAACCGGAAACTACCCAAATTTTGGAAATTTGGGTTTAATACATCATGGGAAATTACAAGAACTTGCTGTCCATAAACGTTCAAATTGAAAGGCGGATGTTTATGACTTTTGGGCCTGGAGAGCAACTTAGATGGATACGTGTTTAGATTATTAAAGTGAGGGGTGGGGGAGATATTGGAGATGCTCATACGTCACTATTCCCCAGCCTTATTTATTTATTTATTTATTTACTTATTATTTTTTGAGACGGAGTCTCACTCTGTTGCCCTGACTGGAGTGCAGTGGCGCCGTATCGGCTCTGCATCCTCCACCTCCGGGGTTCAAGTGATTCTTCTGCTTCAGTCTCCCGAGTAGTTGGGATTACAGGTGTGCACCACCACGAGCAGCTAAGTTGTTTGTATTTTTATTAGAGACAGGGTTTCACCATGTTGGTCAGCTGGTCTCAAACTCTTGACGTCAAATAATCTGCCTGCCTTGGCCTCCCAAAGTGCTGGGATTACAGGCATGAGACACCGGGCCCGGCCTCTAATTTATTTAAACAATAATTTAAAGTTAAAACCGAGAGGAGGCGGGCAGATCTCGAGGTCAGGAGTTCAAGACCAGCTTGGCCAACATGGTGAAACCTGTTTCTACTAAAAATATAAAAGTTATCTGGGCCTAGTAGCACATGCCTGTAATCCCAGCTACTGGAGAATTGCTTGAACTGGGACCTGGGAGGCGGAGGTTGCGGTGAGCCGAGATCACGCCACTGCACTCCAGCCTGGGCAACAGAGCGAGACTCTGTCTCAAAAAAAACAAAAAACAAAAAACAAAAAACTGAGAGGCAAAAGTCTGTCTCCCTTCAGCTCGACCAACACTTAGTCTTTCCTTTCCCTCCCTATTTTAAAAAAATAAATCTTTATTGATTTATCCTTTGTGCCAAGCATGGAGATAGGCATTGGGCACAAAAAATTAGTAAGACTCACTTCTTGCCCTCAAGGAACTCAAATTTCTTGAGGGAGGTGGACTTTTAACTGATAGTTACAACAATACAATTTGGTAAGTGCTGTGGTGGAGGCATAGCTCACGCTGATGGAGAGCCTGCTATGCCTTAGGCTTCAAGTGCCTTATATAATATTAACCATTGTCCAAAGACAAAGTTATAACAGATTTAAAGATCTTAATTGGCTTCCATTCGTGATTCTAAAATCAGGCAACATCTCATTCCATAAAATAGAATGAGTATTTCAATGAGTTGAACAGAAGAGGTTGGCCTTTTTTTTTTTTTTGAGACAGAGTTCCGCTCTTGTCGCCCAGGCTCGAGTGCAATGGCACAACCTCAGCCCACTGCAACTTCTACCTCCTGGGTTCAAGGGATTCTCCTGCCTGAGCCTCTCGAGTAGCTGGGATTACAGGTGCCTGCCATCACGCTCAACTAATTTTTTGTATTTTTAGTAGAGACAGGGTTTCACCATGTTGGCCAGTCTGGTCTCAAACTCCTGACCTCAGGTGATCCACCTGCCTTGGCCTCCCAAAATGCAGAGATTACAGGCATAAGCCACCTTGACCGGCCAAGGTTGGCTTTATAGACAAAAAAGGGTTGAGCAAGCAGAAATGGAAAACACAAAGTGGATTGGTGTTTAAAGTTATTTTCTGTTTAAAGGTTAAAGCAGAGGGAACTTCTTATCATTCCAGTGAAAACTGACCTACTTGGGGATTTGACTATTATATCTCTCTCCTGATTTCTTTCTCTCTTTTTTTTTTCTCTCCTTTTTTAGACACAGGGTCTTGCTCTGTCACCCAGGCTGGGATGATCATAGCTCACTGCAATCCCTGCCTGAACCGATATTCCCACCTCAGCCTCTGGAGTAGCTGGGACCACAGGCATGTGCCGTTGTGCCACTAAGATTTTGTATTTTTTGTAGAGGGATGGTGGTGGTGTTGGGGGGTGGGGGCTCGCCATGTTGCCCAGGTTGGTCTTGAACTCCTGAGCTCAAGCTCAGCACCTGCCTTGGCCTCCCAAAGTGCTGGGATTACAGGTGTGAGCCACCATGCTCCGCCCCCTGCTGATTTCTTGGAAGGTCAGATAAGCAACTTATTTTCAGCTTGATTGTGTGGAACTCCAGCATGAGTGACTATTTTGGTTTGTCTGTTGGGCCAGTGTAGGAACTCAATTCAAACCAATGGTTTACTATATACTTTATTTAATACCATTTAATCCTTATTTAAATCCTATGAGTTTGCTATAATTTTCTCCTTTTTACAGTGAGGAAACTGAGGCACTGGAAGATGAAGGCTACAGAGGTAGAAAGTGATGGAAGTATGTGCAGAATACTACGGATTACAGAGAGGGAAGGGCTGGAGTAGTCAAAGAAAGACCTATTTTTAGCTGGGCTTCCAAAGAATGATGATGAACGTAGAAAAAGAATGTGGGAAATGTTTTCCAGCACTTAGTGATCAGAGAAACATTCATACAAAGGCTCAGAACCTGTGGCAATGTGGGAAATGTGGCAATATGGGAAAGAGTGTATGGTGGAGGGGCTGCTGCTTAGGGAACTGGCGTGGCAGGGGGCAGGAACCTTTCATTTGTAATGCACGATTGGGGAGAATTAAACATCACAGTCTTTGAGGAACTGACAGGAACCTTACCGATCTTCTTGATCCTGTTGTTATACAGATAAGGAAACTGAGGCCAGACAGCTCCAGTGATTTAACTAAGTTCTTGTGGCCAAGAGCATCACGTTTATCTGTTGCTGTAAATTAAGGAATCTGTGGGCTTATTGATTAGGTGTCCCTCAGAGGTTTCCAGGGCCTCATATCTTGCCATCACTTTCCTTAGGGTTATCTGTTCCTGGGCTGGCCTAAGCTTCCTGTCCTTTGAGGAACCTGCCTGCCATCATTGGCCCCAACCCAACAGGAGATAGTGACCTCCCTGTTCCTGACTTTTTTCCTGACCTACTGACCACCTGCTGACCTATCCGGGTTAATAGCTTTACTGATCTGTCTAGCCTTAAGGCAAGCACTAGCCCCAGTGTGAGGAACAAAGGGGCCTGGTGACCCACACCCCCTGGCCCTTTGGCATTCAGTCCTCAGGCTACCCGGAAGGACACATTATTCAGCCTATTTGGGGTGGGGTGAAACAGTTTCTACTTCTTTTCTTTGGGGTTTTTTTTTTTTTTTTTTTTTGAGACCCATTTCGCTCTGTTGCCCTGGCTGGAGTGCAGTGGTGTGACCTCGGCTCACTGCAACCTGTGCCTCCCAAGTTCAAGCAATTCTCGTGCCTCAGCCTCCTGATTAGCCGGGACTACAGGTGCGGCCCACCACGCCTGACTAATTTTGTATTTTTAATAGAGATAGGGTTTCACCATGTTGACCAGGCTAGTCTCAAATTCCTGACCTTGTGATCCGCCCTAGACTTCCAAAGTGCTGGGATTACAGGTGTGAACCACTGCGCCAGGCCTTTTCTTTAGTCTTTCCCTGCTTTCTAAACACAAAGCAACAGAAAAACTCCTGCTTCAAATGCATGACTCAGGTCTGGCATTCAAGTTGCTGCTATTTTGGAAAAAAGCTGCCTGTAGTGCTTTTGAAATTTCTTATTCTCCTACCTGTGATTAACTCATGTGATTAGCAAAGTTTTATTATCAGAATTTATCAATAAAATGAAGTTAGTGATCTAGTAAATAAGAAGAGAACCTGCACAAAATAGCACGCAGAATCCCATTTTTTTTCTATGCATTTGTAAGTATTGGAAACATCTGGTGGCCGGGCGCGGTGGCTCATGCCTGTAATTCCAGCACTTTGGGAGGCTGAGGCGGGAGGACCACTTGAGGTCAGGGGTTCAAGACCAGCCTGGCCAACAGAGTGAAACCTCGTCTCTACTAAAAATACAAAAATTAGCTGGGTGTGGTGGCTATAATCCTAGCTACACGGGAGGCTGAGGCAGGAGAATCACTTGAACCTGGGAGGTGGAGGTTGTAGTGAGCCTAGATCACGCCATTATACTCCAGCCTGGGGACAGAGTGATACCCCGTCTCAAAGAAAAGAATAATAAAAATAAAAAAATAAAGAAGAAAACATCTGGAAAGAAGTAGCTGAAAATATTAGAAGTAGTTATGTCTGGGTAATAGTGTGCTGATGATCTCTGTTCTTTTTGCTTTTCCACCTTTTCTGAATTTTCTACTATGTGCATATATTGAACTCAGAAAAGCAAACAATAAAATTTTCTTTAAAGTTACTAATATTAGGCAAAGCAAATAGCTCAAATGTACATTTGTGATAGTCCTCTTAGCCTATTACATGTTGAGTAATGTATTCTAGTTTGATTTTCCTTGTTAGCCAAAGATTTCATTATTTTGCAGCTTAAGTTGTTTATTTCTAGTTCCTTAAGGTGGTGAGAAGGTGAGGAGAGTGAAGAAGCAAATTCCATTTCAGTAAAACAGGGCGTGCAGCCTTTTGCCCTGAGTCCCTTTGTCTCAAGGCCCCTGTGTTCCGGGTCTTTTGTTGTTCTCTGCACCGACTTTGATTCGAGATTTAAAGAAAAACAAGTGCTGGCCCTCCTTGCGCCCTCTGGTGTCCCAATGAGGTATAACCGGACAAACCCCACAAAGATCACAGCCATTTTCACACAGCGCTCCCCCAACACAGTGATGCCTGGGGACGGGAATGTCGGGAATCTTAGAGGAAGGAATCACACACCGACAAGCACGGCAGGCTTAATCTTTGAAACTTAATCAAAGTCTGTAAGTATGGTTACTGGTTTTTAAAAAATTAAAAGCAGTATCTGGGCTGCAAGTATTTAAAAAACCTAATAGGAAATGTCAATTCTCAAAGCATTTGGCACAGCTTTCTGGGTTCTAAAACTAAGAAAATCGTACTACATATGTTGTTTTATAAATACAGCATAAACCAGTACTTTGTTATTTGTTTAAAAAATTTCTTTTAGAGACAGAGTCTTGTCCTGTCACCCAGGCAGGAGAGCAGTGGTGCAACCTTAGCCCACTGCAGCCTTGAATTCCTGACCTCAGGTGATCCTCCACGCTTCCCAAAGGGCTGGGTTTACAGGTGTGAGCCAATGTGCCTGGCCTAGTACTTTGGATTAAATGCAAATAAATTAGGTGAAAGAGAGGTCTGGATACCTAGACTTTAGCTTGACTGAGGATAATGATTTCTGCAACTTTAAGCTTTACCATGTTGACCAAAAATAAAATTCTAAGTTCTCCAATCAGTTGAATGGATGCCTCTTTGTCCAAGGGCATTCCAAAGTTACCTGAAATACTAGTTCATGTCATGATGGGAACAGGTGGTCAGACAAGCCTCATTATACTCTCCTCCCTTTGGGAGAGAGTCCCTTTGGGATTCAGGCACATCTGACCAGCATTAACATTAAACCTTAAGTCTGACAAAGCAGGCTTTTTGTAGCAATAAGATACGAACATGACAGACAGCAGGCCCTTAAGTAAATTGAAGTAGTTTACACCCCCCCCAAAAAATATATATATTTTTGACACATTTTGAAATGGCCCTGCAAAAGTGTCTCTTGTGGGAAAATCTACTTTCAGTAGAGAATCCCCTTCCCTTTCCAGATATTTTTCCTTAACCAAGAGAGAATTAACTAAGAGTCTTGCACCTTAAAAAGGTAAAAAATAAAATTTTTGGCTGGGCATGGTGGCTCACACCTGTAATCCCAGCACTTTGGGAGGCCAAAGTGGGTGGACCACCTGAAGGTCAGGAGTTTGAGACCAGCCTGGCCAACATGGTGAAACCCCATCTCTACTAAAAATACAAAATTTAGCCAGGCGTGGGGGCGGGCACCTGTAATCCCAGCTACTTGGGAGGCAGATGCAGGAGAATCGCTTGAACCTGGGAGGTGGAGGTTGCAGTGAGCCGAGATCACACCATTGCCCTCCAGCCTGGGCAACAAGAGTGAAACTTCGTCTAAAAAATAAATAATAATAATAAAATAAAAAAATAAAAAAATAAAAAATAGAAGTTTTACAATTTGACCTGGTGCAGTGGCCCACCCCTTTTATCCCAGCACTTCAGGAGGCCGAGGCAGGTGGCTTGCTTGAGCCCAGGAGTTTGAGATAAGCCTGGACAACATGGTGAAACCCTGTCTCTACTAAAAATACAAAAATTACCAGGACGTAGTGGTGCGCACCTGTAATCCCAGCTACTCCAGAGGCTGAGAGGTGCGATGATGGTTTGAGCCTGGGAGGTTGAGGCTGCAGTGAGCTGAGATTGCACCACTGCACTCCAGCCTGGGTGGTGGAGGGAGACCGAGAAATATTTACAATCTGTTCTCTCTGAAGCCTGCTACCTGGAAGCTTTATCTGCATAACAAGAACTTTGATTTTTGCAACCCCTTATCTTAACTCAGGCACTCCCTTCTGTAGATTTCAGGTCTTTAGACAAACTCTTTCAACTAACTCCCAATCAGAAAATCTTTGAATCCACCCATGACCTGGAAGTGCCCCCATGCACCCTCACTCAATGTGGAGTTGTCCCGCCTTCCTGCAGGGAACTGATGTACATCTTAGATGTATTATGTTTCTCTAAAATGTGTAATAAAAAGCTGTAGCCCGACCATTTCGAGCACATGTTCTCAGGATCTCCTGGGGCTGTGTCACTGGCCATGGTCACTCATGTTTGACTCAGAATAAGTCTCTTCAAATATTTTACAGAGTTTGACTCTTCTTCATCGACAATCAATATGTGAGAGTTGATACTGAAGGCCCCTTTTGTCTGTGATATACTTCATTCTATCACATTTTTCACCAAGATGTTTTGTTTGGTTTTTATAGAGATGAGATCTCACTTTGTTGCCCAGCCTGGTCTCTTGGGCTTAAGAGATCCTCCCTCCTGAGCCTTCTAAAGTGCTGAGATTACATGTGCGAGCCCCGGTCTTAAACTGTGCTTTTTTTTTTTTGAGCCCGAGTCTTCCTCTGTCACCCAGGCTGGAGTATAGTGCCATGATCTCGGCTCACTGTAACCTCCACTTCCCGGGTTCAAGCATTTCTCCCTACCTCAGCCTCCCGAGTAGCTGGGATTACAGGTGTCTGCCACCACGCTTGGCTAATTTTTTTTGTTTGTTTTGTATTTTTAGTAGAGACAGCTTTTCGCCATGTTGTCCAGACTGGTCTCCAACTCTTGACCTCAGGTGATCTGCCTGCCTCAGCCTCCCAAAGTGCTGGGATTACAAGTGTGAGACACTGCCCCTGGCTAAACTGTGCTTTTTAAAATTATATTTCCACTAAAAAATGTACATGTAAAATATTTTTAGTTTAAATATTTGATTGATAAGATCTCAGGCATTAGGCTGGGCGCGGTGACTCATGCCTGCAATCCCAGCGCTTTGGGAGGCTGAGGTGGGTGGATCACCTGAGGTCAGGAGTTCAAGACCAGCCTGACCAACGTGGTGAAACACCGTCTCTACTAAAAATACAAAATTAGCCAGGTGTAGTGGCATGCGCCTGTAATCCCAGCTCGAGAGGCTGAGGCAGGAGAATTGCTTGAACCTGGAAGGTGGAGGTTGTGGTAAGCCAAGATCGTGCCATTGTACTCCAGCCTGGGCAAAAAGAGTGAAACTCCATCTCAAAAAAGAAACAACAGCAAACCTCAGGCATTACAATTTTATTTGAATAGGCAATTCATGCACACAGAACAAAGTTCAAAAAGTACCAGATGTCAGAAGGTATAAGGTATACAGACGAAAGTCTCCCATTTTTTCTTTTCTTTCCTTTTTTTTTTTTTTTTTTTGAAACAAGCTTCTTTCTGTCGCCCAGGCTGGAGTGCAATGGTGTGATCCCAGCTTGTTGCAATCTCTGCCTCTTGGGTTCAAGCGATTCTTCTGCCTCAGCCTCCAGAGTAGCTGGGATTATAGGCACGCCACCATGCCTGGGCAAGTTTTGTATTTTTTAGTAGAGACGGGGTTTCACCAGGTTGGCCAGGCTGGTGTCGAACTCCTGGCCTCTAGTGATCTGCCTACCTTGGCCTCCCAAAGTGCTGGGATTATAGGCATGAGCCATCAGGCCCAGCTTCTCTCCCATTTCTAACTCACAGCAATTCTCTTGAGTGATGTTGGGGTTGGCCTGGCAGCTCAACAAGGCCATCATAGGCTTTGAGTATTCTCTTCTTGTTCTGGGTCTTTCTTCTCTGCTACCTTTAGCAAAAGGACATTTCTTTTTCATGAGTGTCACTTCATGTCTGCAAAGTAGCTGCTGCAGCCATCATGGCCAGTTTCAAGGCTGGAACATGAGGGAAGAGGCAGCTCCAGCACCCTTGCCTTTTGAATGTCCCTTTTAACTGGGAGAAACCTTTCCAGGGAAACCCTGACAGTTGTTTTCCTGTTTCATTAACCACTGTTGGGCCGCACAGAGGCCGGGAAAGTGACTGTCAGGCAAAAGGGTATGAATAGTGATTCTAATATTGGTTTTTTATTTTTGTATTCTAGTTTTCTGTGCTGGGTGTAAGAACTGAAATCTATTAGTATAACACCATTTTTCCTCAATTCAGGAATAATGTTTTCATCATTTCTATTTCAGGAGATATATCCCGAAAAATGCATTACAATTTCAAATCAAAGCTGTACAAGTTTTTTTTTTTTTTTTTTTTTTTTTACACAGACATCACCATGTTAGAAAAGTTGGATAAGTTTTGAAACCATTCTGAACCTATCATTCCTGTCTTTCAGATCCTTCCAAGGCATCTTATTATTGATTTGTTTCTATATTTTCCTCATTATTAAAGAGGTTGAGTATCTTTTCTCTAGAGCTAGTTTGGGTTTTGATTTTCTTCACTTTCCTGATGGAGTCATTTTAGAATTGAAGGGCATCATAGCAACTGAGGCAGTGTTGACATCATCAATATTTTAGGATGACAGGTAACCATATTTCCCAGTTTGCTTGGGACAAGGCCTGTTTGTACCTCTTGCCCTAGCAATTTTTTTTTTTTTTTTTTGAGACAGAGTCTCGCTCTGTCGCCCAGGCTGGAGTGCAGTGGCGTGATCTCAGCTCACTGCAACCCCCACCTCCTGGGTTCAAGTGATTCTCCTGCCTCAACCTCCTGAGTAGCTGGTATTACAGGCATGCACCACCACTCCTGGCAAATTTTTGTATTTTTAGTAGAGACAGACTTTTGCCATGTTGGCCAGTCTGGTATCAAACTCCTGACCTCAAGTGATCCCCCGGCTTGGCCTCCCACAGTGATGGGATTACAGGCGTGAGTCACCACGCCTGGCCCTAGTATATGCATTGTGTTCAATCTCAAAAGTGTGTGTGTTTTGTTGAAAAATTATATGGTGGTCATTTATTATCTGAAATACACATCAAAATACCACTATTGCCATTTTGCTCTGGTATCTTCATCAGTGGGTTCAGGATTGTTATGAAGGGTGGTTTGTTCTGCTTCCTTCTCTGTTGTATCTTCAGAGCTCAGAACAGTGCCCAGCACCCAGTAAGTGCTTAATGAATATGAATGCATCTGCACATAAATTCATTTCTTGGAGCTTGGCACATTGCCACTTGAACAAATGGATTCTATTAACAAGGAGTATGGAGCTATGATTTTGGGGTACACAACTCATGGTGCCTGCCAAAACATGCGTTTTAGATTTTGATAGATATCGTCAAGTTGTTCTCCACAGGGGTTGAGCCAGTTTACACTCCCACCAGCAATATGTGAGAGCATCTGTTTCTCTAACCTTCATCCACATGGTGTTATCAAAATTTTTATCTGTGCCAAT